AATTATGGCCTCCCTGCAGATGCTGCTGGTGATGTCGACGATGGGGAGGTGAGCGGTGACCACCCGCAGGTGCTGCTGACAGTGTTGGTGGTGCTTTTGTAGAGGGTGCACTGCCATACTCAGAGAAGTGCAAGTGCACCTGTGTGCACCCCCTACGTGTCGCCCCTGCCAAGTGTTCTTTCCAGGAGATGTCTGGGTAGTTAGTCGCCCACGACAGCCATATTCCGTGCTCTCGTAGCCTTTCTGGATCTAGTTTGATCTTGATTTGGAGGTGCGTAATATATTCTTAGTTAGGTCCCTTTTGCTGTATTCCCCCCCCCCCCCCCCAAAAATCTTGACCCAGAGGGTCTCAGGCCGCTGTTCTTTAGTACCAATTTTGGCTTCCAAGGAGGTATACTGCTCCTTTACATAATAGAGCTACATCTCCACCCTTTTTCCCTATGTGATCCATCTTATGCAGGGTGTAACCCTCTATAGCTACAGTCTAATCATAGGTAGAGTCCCACCAGGTCTCTGTTATCCCTATGATATTGTAGTCCCTGTTGGAAAGCAGGAGGGCCAGTTCCTCCTGTTTGCTCCCCATGCTCGTGGCATTTGTATACAGGCATTTGAGCCTTCTCCTGGAGGTCCTCTATTTCCTGTCATGTTGAGGGGGCTCCATTCCCTCAGCTTGTGCTGTAGTGTCCTTCTTGTTGTCTCCTGTTTTAATGGTTGTTTGTTGGCCCCTGGGCTTGCTCTGCTTGTTTACTGTGCAGTAGACTAACTTACTGTGCAGTAAAGCATCACAGTCTACACGTGCATAGCAATTAGGGCCCAGTAAACTAATTTACTGCATGGCTGGATAGTCCTGTCAGACATAAGCGGTATCTGGTAGCGCAGTAAATTACACTTAAATGCATGTGTAGGTGGTAAGGTTGGGATTAGTTTACTCCAGCTCAAACTGAGCTAGAGCAGTGGTTCTCAACCTTTTTTGTTCCAGGCCCCATTTGTAAACATTGATGGCCAGTCCTAAACCCAGTAAATAGTTTAAGTAGCCCTCACTCCTGACCTGCTGTTCCCCACCCCCAGGATGCAGCTCCCCATGTGTGGGGCAAGGGATAGGTGTGTCAGGTGGGAGGTGTGTGTGGGGAAAGGGGGGCACGTACCCTCTCAGATTTGTGTGCCTACAGGAGGCAAGGGGCTGCAGCCTGGTTGGATCAGAATGGGCAGGAGCTGCTTCCGTGGCCCAGGGCGAGGGACCTGGCATAGGAGAGTGGAGTGGGGCAGTGAGACTCATTGCTGCTGCCAGGACCCCCGGGCCAGCCTTGCTGTCAGCAGCATGAGTAACAGACAGTGGGTTGGGGTGGGGTGGTGCCCTCATCTATTCCTGCCAGTCACTTGTGAGCCAGGCCACAGCTGTACCCCATGCCATGGCCCAACCACTGTTACCACTCCCCTCATGCCACCTCCTTTCTGGGGGAGAACTGAGATTGGAGGGGAGTGGCCATGGTGGTGGAGTAGAGCTGCCCCAGCACGTGAGCAGCTGGCAGTGGGAGGTGAATGTAGTGCAGCCCCCTGCATCCGTTACTTCTCATGCTGCTGGCGGCTCAGCTGGTGTGGGAGTCCTGGCAAGGGTGGCAGCAGTAAGACTTACCCCCCAGCTTTGCCTTCTTGTGTCAGGTCCTGGTTCCTGCCTGTGCTGGTCTACCCAGGCCACAACTCTGTGTCTGCTGTGGGCACAGATCTGGGGGGTAGGGTAAATGCCCCCCCCCGCCCTCTGATGTGTTGCCTACGCGTACCGCCCCCCAATGCTTTGTCTGTGTTCCCCCTCCACCCTAGATTTACCTATGAGGAACTGTAGGAGCTGCTCTCCATGCTGCCTGGCTGCCACATGCATGTGTGCTTGTGCACATGCATGTGATGTCCCCTGCCTGATCACCCTCCCCTTTCTCTCTGACAGCCTGTCATTGCCCATCGTTTCCTCCCTTAAAGGAGAATCCATTTTTAAAGGTTATTCATGACCCTTTCATATACTCTTGGGTCACAGCTTGCGGGTTGAGACTGAGCTAGAGTATATTCAATTGCATTAACTGCACCTGTAGACATGCCTGGTATGTCCAAAAGGCCCGAACACAAGAGGTAGGTTACACGTGGGGCTGTGGCGCCTAAGGGCCAAGGGTAACAGCTGAAACGCACATTGGTGCGCTGCAAGCGCTCCAGGAAGCCCTGTCATTCTTCCTTTTCCTCACCAACCCCCCAATCTCCCTCAGACCCCCGAGAGCAGCTCTCTGCGGTCTAGGCAGCGATCTTGTTGCCTGCTTGGACACAGCCCAAGGTCAGGTTTTCAGAGGCCGCCTGCTCTGGTTCTCCTGGGCCTGGGGGGCTTTGAATGCTGCTGGATGCAGTAGGCTGCCCCCATCATCCCCCTTTCCCCCCTGTGGAGAAGGGGGAGGAGCTGGGCCCCCGGCTCCCCCCACGAAGCCACGTGCCCTTGCCCGAGCCTGTGCCCCCCGGTACACCCCGGACGGCTCCGGAGGCTTTTATTGGCTCCAGAGAAGACAAAGCAGGTCCCTCTGAAGCGCAGACGGGCTTGCTGGGCTGGCAGCCGTCCCACAACCCCCCCCC